GAGCTGAAATTGAAGAAAGTTTGGATGAAAGTGACGAAGCAATTGGGAAAGCTGTTGTACAAAATTTGATGGGTGGAGTCAAGAGAAAGGTCCGGGCATTTGAAATGGGAAAATAAATTGAGTGAAATAAATTAGACAAATCATAACTAATTAGTTGTTCTTCATTTCCCACAAGTTTCAAGAGAATCTGATAAAAGGCATAATTTTGTGTGTGCCATTTTCCGCGAATACACCCTTTACATGGGGCCTCTCTTAGCACAGTCTGTAAAAGCGCAGCTGCAAAGCAAGACCATGCTGGAGGTGGCTGGGTTCGGTTTTCGGTTCGGTTGAGGAATTATCTGGGTTGGAAAATTTCTCAACTTGCTTGGACGAGGGAGTATGATTGTACTTTCGACACCATTATACTAATGCAAAGAACACTAGGCTCAGTCTTAGAGCACCAAAATTTACATGACTTCTTCGTAGTGTGTAGCTTAGAAGCTTTAAATTCTAATCAAAGAAGCGTTCAAGTTAAGGAAAAGGCCTTATTTGGGGTTCTAAAATTCATTGCTTTATATTTTGGCGATGGTCATTGTTATTATTTACTGTTGTTTTTGCATCAGTGGATGAAAAGGAAGAAAACAGCACACTTAGAAATAACTACTTTTACACGAGACTTAATCCATATTGGACGTAAATCATTTAACGTAAACAAACATTTAATGTAAAATTGAGTGTTCTCAAACCGAAACATAAGCAACTCGACGAAGAGAACATTTGATTGAATTGATTTTCTCGTTTCTTTCAACTGATTCTTATGTCAAAAGGGCCGCTTACATGTGTCGGTCTCAGGGAACCGAAATTTACACGACTTTTTCGTAGTGTGAGGCATAAGCATGCTATCAATTGACGTTTGGGCGGTTTTTATGAGTTTCAAGCTTGAATGATTTTTTGGCAATGTGAGTGTGAGTTCGTGAAATTCCATGAGAATCTCAAGCGTGAGATTTGTTTCCCACATTCGCATGCATTGTCTCACGGAGGCGCAATGAATGAGATATGAGAATAATTTTTACAAACACTGGTCTCGGCAGTAAGATTTTTTTTTTAAATTCTGGTTATTATCACCATAAAAGTTGAACATGTCGAAATCAACTTTACCCTAAGTTGATTTGAAGAGGAAAATCTACAGCAATTGAAAAACATCTGCACACTTCGAAAACTTCATGTAATTTTAAGTCTTCTAAGACCGACTCATGTAAGCGACTCAAATGACACACAATTACGTCCGTTAGTATTTTTAAATGACGTAAAATGAAACAAAATTGTAATTTAACTCGTTCTAGTTTGTTGATATGTAAAATTATAACGAGACGCATTTTTCAGCTGCCTACGGAATGTTCCGTCTAATGGCTATAGGAAAAGGGATTTACATTACAGATTTAACAAAATTCGCAATGTAGAGTAGGCGAATTCCTGTACAACCTGTAAAAAGATCCAATGGACCAAATGGTAATAATGACTTTAAACGTCGATGATTCGTGAATTAACACTCATTAAGGAAAATCGGCATTACATATTTAGAAAAATCATGTAAATTAAGGTCTGAGGAGACTGACGAGCGTCAATTTGGACATCAAATTGAGTCATAATAGACATGAAATTCAGCTCAATTAAACGTACTTTCGAACTTTTCAGCCTCAGAGCACTTAAATTTACATGACATGTTTGTTTACGTCTCATCCTTTATGTCAAAGATGGATTCCATGTATTTCTAAGTGTGTAGAATCTGACAAAGTAAATTCGTTTAACATATGCTGATGTCGGTTAACCTGAACCTAAGTAACACATAAAACATCTTTTTGAAACATAATTAGAACGGCTTGTTATATAATTGTATTATAAGTGGTGCAGAAAACATCCCACGTTATATATGAGGTTTATAGATGTATTCATCATACTTCCTAGATTCAACATTTTTCAAAAAAAGTTTTCTTTTGTTTTTATCTTTAAATGTTTGTTAAACGTGCATCTTACTGTTTTAATACCACTATAAAACTCAAAAAAAAAAATAAAAATCTTTGTTGAATTTATAAAGTTCTTGAAGAGATTCTGAACTTTCAGAGATTGACGTAAACATTGACGGCGCCATTGAGCCGGACTGTCTCTTCACGCAGTGATTGACAGTTTCTTATGAGGTTTTTTTGGAGGTTTGTTATAAAGGAAGTTGAAAACACTTTTTTATTACATAAATTAATACAACTAAAAATGTGAAGGTTGTCTTATAAGGAGTTGAAAATACTTTTAAATAACACTCTGGCAATTAGATGTGCTGCTAACAAAACATCTTTATGACGGATCGAAAGCGCATTGAACGAGAATATAATTTGGCAAGAACATGATAGATACTTATAACAAACCTCTCATCAAGCGGAGTTGGTCTATTTAGGAAGTAATAAGTCTACCACGCCAAGGACCAGTGATCGAATCCCATGCTCAAGTTTTTTTTTGTTATTGTTTTTTTTTTGCCACTGGTTTTTATGATGCTTCCAAAACATGTTATAAGACCAGTATTTTGTTGTTTAAGCTCCGCGTCTTGCGCTTTTTAGGTTATATAAATGTATATTAAAGTATGATTGATTCTTTACGTATGTCATTAAAAAGTATTTTCAACTTCTTCATGACAAGCCGTGTTGCTTGGGAATGAGATCAAATCCATGAAATTGACATTCATTGGATTTGTTTACATTTGGCTGATTGATCATTGTCACATGTTGCGCTTGAATTCAGTAGACTTTAAACTCGACCTTAAATAAAAGTTAATACAATCAGTAGTAGTAGTTTGGAACTACTGATATTCAGATAAATATACAGAATAAGCACATAATAAAGGTGTTGAACTATTATTTGAATAAACATGCTTAAGCTTTAGAATGTTGATATTTTTATTAGTCGATTTATTGTTAACATTACATTTAAATTACAAATCAAGTCATGTAAACTAATGTTATGAAATATATTTCAAAATCGAAAGCACCAATATAAAACATATTGAATTGGTAATTCAGTTCTTTAACGAATGATCTGTTACGTAGCACATTACTAACATAACGTTTTGTTCTTCATATCACATGTTTCTTGCTCTAATCAAATAGAAATTTCGGAAAGCATACACACTTAGAAATAACTAATTTTACACGAGACGTAATCCATAATGGCCATGAATAATGGAACGTAAACAAATATTTAATGTAAAATTAAGTGTTGTCAAACCGGAACATAAGCAACTCGACGAAGACAGCGTTTGATTGAATTGATTTTCTTGTTTATTTTAACTGATTCTTATGTCAAGAGGGCCGCTTACATGTGTCGGTCTCAAGGAAATGTTGTGTGTAGATTACTATTGCATAGGAGCATGGTTATAATTAGATTATCGAACAAATGATCAAAACACATCCACTGCACAAGTTTTGCTTCGGCAAAATTCAAGATGTTGATTACTTCAGCAGCTTTGTCGCACTTCAACCGCAAGTGTTTCTTTGCAACCGTTTTTGCTTCTTCCATAACTTCCACTTTTTCTTAGATCAAAACATCCGTGACGTGGTTTTTCGATATTAGTTTAAGAAACAAGGTACCGAATACCATTTCTATACCTTTTCGCACTTCTATTAACTTCTCCATCAAATCATCTTTTCCCTTCCCTGCACCTTCAATTTTTGCACTTGATGACGATTCCGGAACCTTATCGTCATCACTGATTCCAGGATATGCATCCTTCACCTGAGGAAGTTGTATTTTTGGTATTTCCCCCTGAATGCAATCCTCCAGTGATAATACGTATTGTGGATTTTTAAACTTTTTTTTTCTTTATTAAAGAGATTTTCAGCCTTGGGCTGGTTCGTCTCTGGACAGATTTTTAAACTATTTGTTGTGGCAAAACGTTTGCCGGTTCGGCATTTTAGTGAACAAAATTCCGGATGACCTTCTGCTATATGCCGGAAATGCTTTAAAAATCACCGTGCTGCCTTCAATGGGACACTCAAAATGGTTATAATTTCTATGTAACCGAACATGCTTAATGTAAACATCTATGTTTTCGATAGTCACATCACGCATTTTACACTGTAACACAATTTTTCGTCCGATTTATACCTCACTTCTCATTAGCGAACCACTCACGAGCGACGACGTTGAAGTTTTTGCTTGCGTTGGCCCACACGCTATTTCAAAACTACCCAAATTTGAGTAGAATCCACCCAGATCCGTCAAAACTGAACCTACCCAAAAATGGGTAAACTGTGTTGGGATTGACAAGTTGACAAATGAACAACGTCGATCGGATTCATGTCGATGTTGTTCATTTGTCAACTTGTCACTCCCAACACAGTTTACCCATTTTTGGGTAGGTTCAGTTTTGACCGATCTGGGTGGATTCTACCCAAATTTGGGTAGTTTTGAAATAGCGTGCAGCGTTCGTTCGTGCAATTTTAAATCATCCCAGACCAAAAAAAATGTGTGTTCATATAATTTTGCGTACACGTAAGTAAAATTGTTTGTCAAGAAGTAATATTGTGAGGTGTATGATGGAAAGTTGCAATAATATGACCGCTTCTCTTGTGTGCGTCTTGCAAAACGTAAAATTAAGATAATTTTCGAATTACGTCATGCTGTATTAAGTCCGTTTTTCAATTACGTCTCATTTAATAATCATATTTTTTTGGTGTGTGTGCATTAACTTTCTAGCACAAGACTTTTAGAAAAAATGTTCACGCAGCAAAAGAAAAAAAAAATAAGTTATGATAAGTTTCCTAGGTTTGAAGTACAATTCTAAAGGAACCCATCACCATCAGTTAAGAATAACTCACAAACTAATAAATAATTATCAAGATATATAAAAACAGTTGAAAAAAAAAACTATAATTTTTCTAAATGTGCATTGTGCAGCTACCAGAAAACTAAAGAAAAATTGTGCAAAAGACAAGGGAAAACCGTGCAACAAGAAGTAGCTGAGATCTAATATTTACTTTCGAGTGCTTTATCACAGAACCTATGGTACTCGTCGTGTGTAATGATATTCTCTGAATTGAGGTTAAGTTTTGGTTTTGTCCAGATGGAAAGCAGTTTTTTTTTTGTTGGATTTGAGGTCAGCGTTTTGGGAAGGATTAGACATAAACGTTGGCATTAGAATAGAATGGGTAATTAAATATGAATTTCAGAGATCTAAATGGAAAACTACAACACTCACTTGTCCGCCGTAGTACGGTGTTGATGTTGTTCTGGTTGTTCTCGTTATTGATGAGATTTGTACTGTCGATACGATCGCTTGCCGCCGTCCCGTTGCTACCGCTGGATGCTGCTCCGAGGCCACGTTTGCCGGTGACCGCCAGTGTGGCGTACCGGCCACCACCACCGATGCCACTGGAACCGTGTGCCCTGCTGCTTCCGCTGCCGGTTAGCATCGTGCCTGCCATCATGGTGCTCGTGGTATCACCGTTCGGTGCCGTGTCGATTATAAAATCGTCGTCCTTTTGTGAGGGGTGAGAACAATAAACATGTCATTTTCCATTTTTTTCATACTTTAGGTACATTCTTAGCGTAGGAATTACGCGGGTTCAGACGAGGTAATAAAAGCAAAATTATGTTTGGGAATTTTTAGGCACGATCGAAATCACGAGCATGAGATTTCATCACAGAGGCTTTAATCAGCATGATAGATTAACGCTGAGTCGAGTTGGCTGAACATTTCGAGACCTAAAGTGTATCGTGCTTCTCCGCAAAGAGAAGGGCACTTTTTCACTGCTGCTATTATAGAGTGAAACATGGTTCAGTCACGCATTCAGTCACGGGGGTGGATGCTTATGCTTAGTGATGGCAATAATGCTGCTCTCGTTATATATTTTTCCAAGAAGAGAATGTTCGGAAACAGAAGCTGTTGTGCAGCAGTTTCAGGGTGCTGTGACGATGTGGTTTTGATTTTATAGTATGACGCAAAAATGCGGCATAAAAAAGGTGGGTTTATATGTTGGGTAAACCACAAGCACTGCTGCACTCAAGTGTGGTTGGTGATTTGGTTTTATCATGAGTAAAGTTGGGTGCGGTTTGGAACGAATTCAAATCAAATGAGAATGAATCATTTTAAAATTTAAATATTAAGTGTAAATCTAATTTGATAATTTATTCACATAAGAAAACGCATAATTTAATCAGTTTTTACGAGAATTGTGTAAAAGACAATTTTATTTAAAAAAAAAAAAACGGTGCAATGTCAAAACGTTTAATCACACTGAGCAAATATATTGAAGAAACAAATGCCCTTCTTTGTAAGGCGTGACTGTGATCCTTCAAATTACAATTTTCAAATCGGAAGTGTTCAATAGTAGGTATTCTTGGAATTATGTCTGGTGACTCAAACTCAAACATGGCTTTATACCTAGAATCATTTTAGCAATACCTGGAAAATGTGACATGCTTAGGAACATCTGTTTCCAGATATGGCTTCACCGCATGGTTCCAAAATTAATGTAGAATACTTGTTCACCACAATGTACAACAATTAATATAAAAACCTTCAGTAATCACTGTACCTTTTACACTAACACCACTAAGAAATTGGTGTTAATGAGACATGCCAAACCAGCTACTCAGAACAAGTGGTATGGTTTTATTTTTTCATTGGACATAGTGCCGAAACCGCAACGGGTTTCACACCCCAACCACAAACCATCATGAATGCTTGGTCGGCACCCGACACATTATAGGAGAAGATGGCAACAAACCGAAAAGAAAAATCATGTTACACCCTTCCCTTGGGCTATATTGTGGACTCTTGTAAAACAACACGTTAATTGGTTCGAATTTGAAACATCGCTTCAGTACACGACGGTTAGAGAACCGGACACAGACCAGCGGCGGGGAGCCAACTGGCATCATAAATTAGGTAATTGTAACACTATATACAAGTGCGTAGCCGTCATCGGCGTCGGATGATGGGCGCTTCAAATAAATGGGCGATTCGCTATTATTCCTCTCATCCATTTGGTGTTAATCCATTTTTTTTTATCCATAAAACAGCAGCAACCGTCGTTGCTGGTCGTAAAGAGATGCGGTTTCATGGTCAAGGCATGCTCCATTACGCTGGCACTTGTGGTGTGGGAAAATCAAGTACTAATTTACTGTTTCTATGATTAGCTGGGTCTGGGTGTGCTTAAATGAGGCGTGCTCTTTTTTATCACAGCATTTTGCCGCAGATATGGTTGATGTAGAAATTATTAATGGTGAAAGTAGAGGAGTTTTCAACATCAAAACCTTAGACATGTTGAGCTAAATTTAAAACTTTAGAGTAGATATTGAAAAGCTTGTCAAAATCGAAATTGTCTTTGGAAGTTGGTGGATGTTTTACTAAAATCAACGTTTTACCTTTCGCCTTAGAATTAGTAAAATACATACTATGTTCTGTTTTTTAATCATCTTACGTCTAAATTGCAGAATCACACACCTAGAGATTGATAGCAGATTTGCATATGTGTACTTATGATTGCAAGCAAACCGTACATTATTCGATTTGGTGTAGAGTTCTTTTATTAATAAAAGACCCTGTATCAAAATTGCGTTTTTTTAACATTGAGTTGGAGTAGACTTTTACAACACTTGGTATAGTAAAAGTCTATTCCAACTCAATGTAACTCAACTACCAAAAAGTAGAAAAATGTAAAATTGTAAGGGACCTAGGTGTGATCCTAGACTCTAAACTCAATTTTGTAGAACATTATAATACAATCGTAACGAAAGCAAATAGTATGTTGGGCTTCATTGAGAGGTTCAGCTATAATTTTCAAGACCCATACACTATCAAATTATTATATATTACATACGTAAGACCTATTCTCTAATACTATAACCTAGTATGGAATCCGTACATTGCCATACACGAGGAACGCATAGAATCTGTCCAAAAACAATTGAATGGGACCGCATTTCCTCTTCTATCATATTAAGCACGCTGTATGCTCATCAACAAACACTCAAAGAACGCCGCGAATTTGCAATGCTTTTCTTCATCAATGACATTATTTCACATCACATAGAATCATCAGAAATACTTTCACAATTAAACTTCTACACACCCTCTCAGAAAAATCACACAGAACAAATTACGCAAAAAATGGCCCCTTCAATCGAATGATGCGACAGTTTAATCTACACTGTGAAGTCATTAGCATCACTATGTCAAAAGAAGAAATTAAAACCCAACTAAAACATAATAGAAATAATGCACAGTATGTAAGAAAATCATTGTAACCATTGTATGTAGTCTACTTTGCTTGACGAAATAAATAAATAAATAAATAAAAAAGGTGAAAAACCAAACAAGAATTCAATTAATTTAATTTAAAAAATTATTGAAAAATTGAGCCTTAAATTTCCAACTCACCTCAAACAGCGAAAAATCCACTGGTATCAGTCTTAGGGTGTTTCGGGGCGAGTTGGCGTACATCGCCGCAGATATAGCGGATACTCTCGCAGCTGCCAGTGCACTGTTGCTGCTACCGCCTGTCGTTGTCGCTGCCGAAGCCGAAGCCGAAGCCGACGCCGAAGCCGACGCCGACGCCGACGCTGACGCCGCTGGTGCGTTGCTTGTGCTATGCTGGTGGTGATGGTGACTATTGCTATTGCTACTGCTACTGCTGCTGCTGTTACTACTACTGCTACTGCTAGATCCTATTTCATCACATGATTTCTTTACGCTATCTATTTGTGTGGTTGGTAAAACTGCAATAGAAGAAAAGGGGAAAAACGGAAAGACGTTGTTAATTAACTGGATAACAATTCAAATCTGGAATTGGACACGACGGGTCCATCAATGAATATCAAAAGCATTGGGAAGGCCACGCGACAACCACGGAGTGTGCTTTCTGGTATCAACTTCAGTTGGGGAGATAAGTCACGGGGACAACGAAAATTCAATCGAAAATAGTGTTTTTTTCTCTTCTTTCTGCTTGCGAGGAAATCCAAATTCAAGTCATATAGATGGACGGGCGGACGTGTCAATTAATTTGTGCCACATGATAGGCGCTTTCGCAATGAACTAATTCGGTGTCCATCAAAACCTTTGAAATCTTTTTTTGACAGGGAACGGCGAGCGCACGGTCGGCTCGCTAGCGTTTCGAATGACAAATGACATTATTTTGACGAATTCCGATCACATCGTTCGGTCGGAAAACGATGGGAAGCCAGAAGGCATAAAATGTTTTTTATTTTTTTTTATTTCGAAGTTTGAGTGGTGGATTTTGAGGGCTAAATGGATATGGAACCGAATTGCGTCTAGTTTTGTTACGCAACTTTTCCCAGCAGAGTGGGTTGTGAGCTAAATGCTAAATGGGTGCTTTATCGTCACAGTGTAAAGGTGTCGTTGACGTGTTGTGCGAAATAATTCGAATTGCTGTGAATTTAAACAGAGACAAAAAAGACTCTTCTACAACCATTCAGTAAGGGAAGTAAGTGAAAAAAACCTAATTGAATGGAGTTCTTTGTTCTGACTTGATTCAATTAGCAACACTTGGTTGAGTGAATATTATGTGACGGCGTTATGGATCAAATAAGCAAGAACATTATTTTTACATACAGCCTGAACGGGAAAAATATCAACACTGGGTTCAATTTCCGGTCCGGTCTAGAAAATCTTCGAGTTGTAAATTTTCTGGACTTCCCTGGGAATAGAATAACGTTTGCATTTAAAAAAATGGACAAAAATTGTCGATTTTCCATGGGTTTACCTTCACCCGCACTGACGAAACTACCCATGCAGCATCAATCATAGTAAACCGTGAGTCAGCAGACAAAATTTGACAGCTCTATCAGTCGAACTCTAACCGTGATGGCAAAAACAGTGAAGCAACTCCGTTCAGAAGTGTGCGCGTTCAAAGAACGGCACCCCGCCGCGTCGAAAACGGACATCGTGCGGCACTTTGTGGACGCCGGATACACCCGTTCCGGCATCTACAACTTCTTGGCACTATTAGACAACAATCAGAGCATCGAAAGAAAGCCCGGTTCAGGACGACCGACGACCCTGAGCGACAAGAAGCTCCAAAGGATGTTGAAGAGGAAGACCGAGGGAAAAGTGGCTACATCGCTGCGTGCGCTTGGCCGGGAGGTCGGTGCAACCGGCCAAACAGTGGAAAAGTACCTGGCGAACATGAACATACATGTCAGGAAGCGGAAGTGACGTCGTTGTGATAAACATGTTTTGAATAATTTTTTACATTGTTCATATGATTGCAGGCGAATTTTTAATTTTTCTGGTGGTTGTCTTCATTTGTAAAATAATCTATTACAAGCTCAAAATTAAATTAAATTGAGTAATATTTACAGGAAAATGTTGGTAATTCATTTACCTAACGACAATACATCAATACATCTATCAACGATGTAAAATTTTAAGAAAAAATATTAATGGTCAATAATTGGATCACAGTTGGACTCTTGGTCCTGGATTATTGTCTATGGCGATAACGCCTGAAGGTATGCATATAAAACACACACATATTGTGCTTCGATTATTGACTGCATCAATTAAATCAATAAAATAGCTGATATCGTAAGTAAACATCCAGAAAACTTATGTTTAATCAGCTAACAGAATCACTCAATGATTATTCTTGCTGAAAAATGTCATTCATAGATACATTTAGCCATTTATTGGCGTGCAATTATTAGATACAAAGTGTACAATAATAGAATTTCAAAGCAAATGATGCGTGCAACAATTGGACTCTGAAGTAGGGATATTTAAAAGTTTTACTATACAGAATGATTTTACCAATATAAATTGCTGATGAGCGCTGTTAATGCTTCATGATTCACATTCAAAGGTTTCTTGAGGAATTCCTACTTCAAAAACAATTTCAATCTCTTAAAAATGCAAAATAAGCAAAATTACGTGCTTAGGTGTGCAATAGTTGGCAAATTACCCTTTACTGCGTTATCACCGACAAATCGACATGAATGACCATAGCAAAAACAATAAAATTTCTGACCAAAGCACACTACTGACATCTGGCTCCGTGTTCGTGGCAAATATTTAGCTTAGCCATGAACCCGGATGCAAAAGTTATGAATTGTTTCGTGTCTGATCTATTCTGGACAAATTATTTTTATCTAGGTCAAAAAATCCTACGGTTTTGACAGTGATCCGGCACATTTAAATCGACCGTTTACGATTTTCATGCATAAGTCAGAATTAAGTGTCATGTCGGTTGGTCGGTGGTATTGATGGATCGAAGTAGGCCGCGCTGAGAAAATGACGTGTTTTTGTTTTACTGCGTCGTTTTCGTTCTAGTGAAAATGTTATAAATTTACAATTTAATTTTTAAAAGTGTTAATTTGAAAGTACAGAAGTGATGTTGAAAAGTGCATTAAGTGAAAATTTTCAAATTCCTATCCGTTGAATGTGGTGCCGACTGTTCTACCCTACGCGTAGCTACGCTCTGCTAAGTTTATTGACCTTTTCGTTCCTCTGTCCTCAATAAGAAATATCTATCTAATTCAAGACGATCATTTCAAAACTTACTAAATACGGGTCAATCAAGTATTGCACTACTGCTTGATTGAAAGTTTCAGTACGTTATCAATGGTGTATATTTGCATCGATAATGTATTGGAGCGGGGCTTATCATGTGTGAAAATAGCTTCGGAATGCTTGCGTTCTTGAAATGGGCTATTGTAGCTGCGGTAGAGCTGTCACCTTCTAACTCCCGGGTTCAAGCTTCTTGCATTGATAAGAAATGATTGCAGGCAGATTTTATCCATAATGTCACTACCAGACAGTGGGAGTTAGGCCAAGGACGAATCTTCATTCTAATCTACGAGTCCACATACTATTAATAACCTTTTACACATGAGAACTTCCTATCGATCAGAACGAATTGTGCATATGTTTAGGATCAACAAACATGTTCAGGCGCAAAGGAGCAACAGAATCGAGCTGATAACGTTTCTTAATTCCAAAATCTGAAGACTGTTTTGAATAATATGTTTAGGTAATGGGCAGCAACAACGGACAGATAAATTACTAACAGCTTCTATTTAAAAAAAATGCTTGATATAACGATTGCCAGCAACGCCGACTGGGCGTATCCTATGGATTACCCTCCCTACTAGCACACATAAGGGAGACACATCCTTTATCTAACATCTAAGAGGTAGTAATTAATCACAAATTACAATCTAACAGCAACGGATGAACGTGGGTCTCCTTCTTAACAACAGTTTGGAGTTCGTACCACCTACGACATTGTGCAACCTGGTTTATGCTATGCTATGTCGGTTTGTTGGTGGTATTTTTGTAAGTACTGTACTGTAGTCTAAGTAATTCAAAACTATTTCCTGTGCCAGTACTTACTTGCTTACTCCTTATAAACACATCATATAAATACCACAGACAAACATACACTTTGAATATTTTTCCCAGTGAAACATCGTTGCTGAAACACTACCGCGCTCTATAGATGTCGCTAGTGTTTAAACGTCAAACGCAAGGAAATTGACTATGCGCGCCACCTGCGGTGCTACTACCAACTAATAACAATGTAAAGTGGCCGTTAAATGCGTGTGCTATCAACAACATGCGAGCGCTATGTCTGTTTGTCTGTGGAAATACTATACAACTTACTGTTACAATGCAATAAAATCTATTGTTTACAACATAAAATCAATAGTTAGTTCACATTATTACACAATAAAATATATATTAAACGCTCAGGTAGGCCAGGAGGAGGAATTCAAACCGACGATTGGAAAGTTCAGCGCCCACCAGCTGACGAACGGGAACGGCCTACGACTAATCGATTTCGCCGCCTCCAAGAACATGGCCATACGTAGCACCTTCTTCCAACACCACCTCCCCTATCGTTACACCTGGAGATCACCACAGCAGACGGAATCGCAAATCGACCACGTTCTGATTGATGGACGGCAATTCTCCGACATTATCGACGTCAGGACCTATCGTGGCGCTAACATCGACTCTGACCACTACCTGGTGATGGTCAAACTGCGCCCAAAACTTTCCGTCATCAACAATGTACGGTACCGACGCCCGCCACGGTACAACCTAGAGCGACTGAAGCAACCGGATGTCGCCTTAGCATACGCGCAGAATCTCGAGGCAGCGTTGCCAGAGGAGGGCGAGCTCGATGTGCCCCCTCTAGAGGACTGCTGGAGTACAGTAAAAGCAGCCATCACCGACGCAGCCGAGGGCACCATCGGGTACGTGGAAAGAAGTCGACGGAATGAATGGTTCGACAAGGAGTGCAGAGCGATTTTGAAGGAGAAGAACGCAGCGCGGGCGGTAATGCTGCAGCATGGAACCTGACAGAACGTGGAACGGTATAAACAGAAGCGGAAACAGCAGACCCGCATCTTTCGGGAGAAAAAACGCCGCCTGGAAGAAGCGGAGTGCGAGGAAATGGAACTGCTGTGCCGTTCCCAAGAAACACGGAAGTTCTACCAGAAGCTCAACGCATCCCGCAACGGCTTCGTGCCGTGAGCCGAAATGTGCAAGAATAAGGACGGGAGCCTTTTGACGGACGGACGTGAGGTGATTGAAAGGTGGAAGCAGCACTTCGATGCGCACCTGAATGGCGAGGAGAACGTAGGCACGGGAGACCAGCGCAATAGAGGAAACGACTAGGTCAGTGCAGCAGAGGACAGAACTGACCCAACTCCCACGCTGAGGGAAGTTAATGACTCCATTCAGCAGCTCAAAAACA